GGCGCGGATAATTTTAGAGTAAAGAGATATATCAGCAAGTACACAATTAACCCGGCAATCGCGCAGGGAATGTCCCACCTCATTGGCAGTGTTGAGGTGGGAAAAGTTGCGGATCTTGTTATGTGGAAGTTTGCGAATTTCGGGACGAAACCCAGTATGGTGATAAAGTCTGGTATGATTGCTATGGCGATGGTGGTATGTTAACGCGAGAAATACATTCTTGGGAAAACCGAAGTGCCTCTTGGTGATCGATGTGAGAGCTAATAGGGGGCTTTAAACAGGGTGACTCGAACGGATCGATATCAACGATTGAACCCATGGTGATGAGCAGGATGTATGCGGTGAGTCTAGTCTCGAGTTCTCTATTCCCTAAAACGCCCTATTTTTTCCCCCTGCTTTAGCTCGATCACTAATAAATCTACCCACAGAGCCGTGTCCCTAGAACCTCCATAATGTTCGTCTCCCAAGCATCACAAAACCTAGGCATAATTGATTCGTACGGGATCAAGAAGCGCGTAGAAGCAGTACGGAACTGTCGAAATATAAGCAAGAAGGATATGAAATTCAACGATGTGATGCCGAAAATGAGAGTTGATCCAGAGAGCTATGTAAGTTTCTTTTTTCTTTTTTAATTCCCTTACCCCTTCTACATTCGCCTCCACGCTAGGGGTTGTCCTGCCAATGTAGGGCGCGCTGTCTGCAACAGAACTATTATCACTGTAAGGACGAGGAGGACTTCTGCTAACATAAAACCTTCCTTTTCTGCTCTTCTTGCAAATAGGTTGTCGAAGCGGATGGGATGATTTGTGAGGCCGAGCCGTCTGCACGGCTACCATTAACGCAGGAATATTTTGTTTTTTAGGTGCCTCTATCTTTCTTTTTCCTTTTTTTAATATATATATAAAAATGTTTTGCTCATAAATCCCCCCCGCATCATCCCCTAGATATATCCATTGGAATTTGTGCGGGTGGTTGGAGCGCGCACATGGGAAGGTAAAAGTACGTTCTATACCTCTGTGCTTAAGGCTTGCTAGCACATATTTTTTTATCTACTTGATGTATGATTAGCTGAAATTAAAAAGTTGGGAAATAAGAAATGATATGAAGGTATTGTGTCTTTCTAGATTCTAGAGTACTTCCAGCATAGCTAATCTTTGAAACCGAGAGTGCTCCTTTTCCGTTTGAAGAAAATTTACTATTGAGGAATGCATGATATCTACTCCAGACACCTTAGAGGAGAGGTGGCCTGTTCCTTGGGTACGCTATTATTCAGAGTAGTGGAGAGGTGTCGCCAGGTAGTCAACAGTCAACGGAGGAAACGAAGCGAAAGAGAGAGAATAATAGCAAGGCGTTTATCATTCTCCGACACAGACCAGCGAATATACCACTTTCCCATCACACAGATAGACTGAAGATATGAATGAAGATCACCCAAATAAATCCTGCCACCGTAATTCCACGAAATAAAAATTAAAATCACGCCGCTCCACACCTCCCACTTAACACCCCCTCTTCTTTAAAACAAAGGAGAAAATAACAACTGGCAAAACTCATACATAAACGTATGCTGTCCAACCTCTCCCCCACTCTGCGAGGCACTCACAGCTCCACTTCCTCCTCGGTATGATTATTGCCCGCGCTGACAAGCGAGTGGATGCTAGACCATGCCTCGTACGTGCCTACCCGAGCCGCGCGGTACGCGGCGATGCGACGTTTCCTTCTTTCACTTGTCGTGCTGGAGTCTGCTGTGGTGGTTTGTTCGAGATCAAAGGCGGATTGGAAGAGTGAGAGGTGGGTTTCGGGGCTATCAGCTTGGCTGTCGTCGTCGTCGTCGTCGTTGTAGTTACGGTTATTGTTATTGGCGCCGGTGGATGTTTGACTGTTATTACCACCCTGGGTCGTGTGTTGCTGAGAAAAGTGGAGGGAAAGGGATGTGCTGAGGTTTTGAGACTGGGATTGGGCTTGGGCTTGAGCTTGGGCATTTGAGGTTCGCTGTGAAGAATCATCAATCTCAGTTCCAAAGTCTGAAAGTGACGATGGTAGGTGGAATTCCAGTTCATGGTTTAGGTGTTTTTCTTTCAGAGCATGTTTTATTGCGATCAGTTGGGAGTTCACGGATGACATTTGCGAGGTCATATCGTTGCGCGATTCTAGGTTTATGTTTTGTGATGTCTGCTGGCAGACGCGTCGCGCAGCTGCGGGACAAAGATCAGCTTCTTGAATCTGCAATTCTGGCAAACGGTCCGAATTGGAATCGTGTTTACTTTCGTGGATTGCAGCTATTGGGATAACTGGAGGCAGTTCGGTCTCTTGAATGAGCAGTATATCCGAATCCGACTGCTGTGTTGAATTTATCGAGGATGAGGAATCGCTTCTTATCCGTCTCCGCTTCTGCGGTCGGTGTTCCGCCTGCTTGATAGTCCTTCTCATGAGCTCGTCGTGGGCAAAATTGGCGCCAGAACATAGGTGGCCAAATAACGTGCACATGGACACGTCTTCATTCCAGGTCGCAGGGTCTACCGTGCAAGGGAAGATATCCTGTGGTTTGAAGGCTTTGACGAAATTGCAGAGTTCGGCGTAGGAGGAGTGACGGGAATAGGGAAAACGCTGTTCATATGTTACTTTAAGATACCCAGAAAAATAAATAAAATTGAATTGGATTGATGAAGTCAAAGGACAATAAAATGGGGTCGGGTTCGTTTCTTACTATTGTGTTTGGAAGGTTACGTCCAGGTTGTCCCTGTCCAAATTTCGGTAAATTGGCGGCGGAGGGATTCGATAGGTTCTCTGCTGGTGGTCCTCGACTTAGAATACTCACGAGTTGCTGGACTGAGATCTCATCATCTTCCTTTATACCATAGGCATCAAGTGACAACGATTTCGAGTTCGAATTACGTGCTTCTGACAAAGCAGCTATTATCGACGCTCGGATTTCCTCGTCCTGAATACGTTCAGAGCATACGTTTAAAAGCTGCTGAAATGCAAAATCATCTTGTAGCTCCAGTTCATGGCTTTGGTAAAGGTCGCCTTGTCCGCCACCAGCGCCCAGTTCAGGAATCTCGGAGCCGTCATCCATACGTGATACAATGGGAGTAATATATACGGAAGGGCCTTTGGAAATGGATGAGCAGACCATACCAGGTTCGCAACTATGGATTCTAGCTCCATGATCGACAGTCAAGCAGCCAGGAATTTGTGTATTGCCGAGCTGGAATCCGCAAAGGAATGGTGCTTCATCAACACCAAAGCCATTCGTAACCCGTGTCGTTAGAGATCGGTACACGCCCATCTGATATTCGTCAACATGGATCTAGCTCCATTCGTTAGCTTCAACTCTTAAGTCAACGTAAATGAAATCGTGTTTTTTACCCGGGTGTTAAGCGCGGCTGACAACGCTAGCCAGACATCTTCATAGCCAAAGGTCCACACGCGTAGATAGAATAGAGTGCTATCTGGATAGGTCTGTATCTTCTCTAAAAGTTCTCTGATTCCTTCTGCTTTTGAGGGAAAGGATTGATACACGTTGGATTTCGTAGCGAAGGTGGTATCGAGATAGATCTTATCAAGCCGCTTGCTTCCAAGGGTATATGGAATGAGGACAGGGTGCCTGATAAGGTTATCCACCCACCAAGATTCCGCTATGAGATAAAATAAAATAATTATTACCCGCGGTAACGAAAAACAAACAAAAATAGGAGGCGTAATCTCGGTTATGTTCGATTGTAATAAAATATGCAAACCCAGGTGACATAAAAGTGTCAGCTATACGGAAGACTTACCTCGAATATCGCCGGTATACAGGATGGCTTTCCTATTCCCCTCTATGAGGAACATAACAGCCCCAGGACAATGGTTAGCATCGAAGAGAGTGACTCGAACATTATTTCTCGGGCTCAGCTCGATCTCCGTTGGAACTTGCAGCGGAATGGGACGCTAGACGACACTTGTGTTAATCGCAAGCCCCTTGTGTATCCAAGGTCACGCATGGAGAGGCCATGCATACCAATAGTTTAGATAGGTGTTTGTAGTGCTTCTTCCTTGACTCCAAGATCCCCTTGCTAAAATTTATGCGATGGGGGTACTTCTCAAGGCGGAGAAGGATCTAGGAGCGGACCGGACTAGAGTTAGTGATAGGTGTTCAGCCAGTACGGGAAGACGTGGGTTACTCTACCTCTCGCGTAGCAGCTGAGCAGTATATGAACGGTGCTCTCAGTGACTCGAGGCCCTGAAGATGGTCGCTGTGAACATGGCTGAGAAAGCATGCCAGTGGAGCTGGCCGATCAGGGTTTTTTCGAAAGTAATCAACTACTCAATCAAGCATCCGAAAGTCAATATATATTGATTATCCAATCAATCCGAAAGACATCAAGATGGAACTCTTTACTTCGAATTTGAGGGAATTCTGTGATGTTCTTTTTAGCAAATATCAAACTGACGACAGGCAGGGGCTTCCTAACCTTCAACAATGCCATCGAAGGTGGACATGGTCAGCAAGCACTTGGGCTGCAGTACTTCTTACTTCAAGTAACATTGACGCATTCCCATCTCGCACCCAAGAGTTTTACATTTTCCTGAACATATGTTTTCTCAAAGAGCTTGATCAATTGAGTGTACGGAGTATCTGGGGGATGTCACTTAAAATGCCACGGCACGTTTTAGTGGCCTTTTTTTTTTTTTTGCCAGTGCTGCTTTTAGATCATCATGCCATCACATCACTGTTCGCGAGCTCACTTCGAGGCTCATCGTCTCCTCCAGAAATAGCTTGCGACCAATCTACGATGATTAGGGTATAGTTATAAGTTCGTGCTGCACTTCTGGTGCGGCACGAGTCGCTTTCTTTCTTACTCATCTCTTTTGGTGCTCACTTATTTGTCTTAAGCTCTCCGGATTGTCTTTTACCATGGGTATTCCCACCAAGCGCAAGCCTCCAGCTCCATCACTGGATGGATATGATCAATAGGTCAAGAGAGCCACCAAAGCCAGTCTTCGAGGAGTCAACAATGTGTGCCATAGCGACTGTGGCAAAGAGTTTCCATCGGTACATCCCCCTGATCAGCATAGTCTCACCTTGAAGGCTGCTTTAGCCTGACAGGTTTGTCCAAGTATTGGAACCGGCCGACCCTCATCACTCGCTTAAAAATGTGGAGTTGAGCGTTCGCAGGCATTTTCTACGGTGGTACCTCGAGAGTCACAATGTTGTATCTTTGGATGGCTTCCTTGTCAAAGCTCGATTCTTCAGACTGCACTATTGTTATATGTTGGGTCATGAGTTCCCCTAGACCCTGAAGCAATAAACAAAGAATGCATGTGTTTAAACCCTTACTTATTCTGTTGATCATTGCTAACAATTTTTCCAGTTAATATGTGGACAACTTAAGGAAGAGTACGGCCTTAGTGAGACCAAAAGATTTTAGCCTCCAGTCAATGCGGACGACCTTCTTAGCAAGCTGTACTTTGATCTCGCCATCTCAGATGTGTACTTTCCAACTGAATGGCAAAGGACACAACATGAGACTGTGCGCAAGATGATGACCTCCACGAGCGCACGGCCAGGAACTCTGCTTTGGGCTTCCGGGTGCTGCAAGAAGAAGAAAGATGCACTCTGCTGGGGGGACACTGAGCTGTTCATTGTTATTGACCCCGAGCGCCCTAACTGCAAGGTTCTCCTTATGAGAGTGCGGCACCGACTCAATAAGGGTAAAAGGAACAAGGGAAGAGCGTACATACCATCTCCTGTCCATGAAACCTTTACCTAAACAAGTCGTCGCTAGGCCGAGATTCTCCTACTTGAACGCAACGACAACCTCGGATTGGGTGTAATCCAGGACGTCTTCCAGTTTGCCTTTGAAGATGACGCCTTCAGCAGCAACAGGATCCAAGAAGCCCAAGATATCTGATGTTCCTGCTCACAGGAAGAGTGTGCCAATCCATTTCAAGAAAGAAATGGAGCGTATACCGATATTCCAATCTACAACTCGAGATAAAGAGGGGAACTGGATCACCCACCCCACAGAACCTCTTACCTATACACAGTTCTGTGAAGATGAACGCAGGCTCGATAGAGCTTGGGGCGCGGCGGACAATGGAAGTCCTTACAAATATCGGAAAAGTAATGCAGCCGCTATAGCAGGTTAGTCTACATCAACCATACATATGTTTAGACTGCAGACAGATGACTAATGTTTATCAGCAGACTTGACACCCGAAAGACGGATGCAGATTATGGGGCACTCTAGAGGCAATATCTTCTTAGCCTACATTAATGAACTAGTGGACACCGACACGCAATCTGTTTTCCTGGGAACCCCCACCAGATGCTATGATCAGGCTCTCCACCAACTCAAGCATCACTCGTGATCCATCAGCACCACGCGGCCTGACACCCGCTCAGAGGCGGAGTGTTGAAGGAGGCCCAAACCTGATGGCACTTGAGAGAGACTGCATAGAGTTTCGGGACGCATTGATTACAGAATATGGTACACTAAGTAAAATAAAGGACATGACCATACTCCAGGACTATCGACAGCGATGCAACAAAGTCTGAACCACACGCAGGCTACTGCTGAAAGAGACAGGGGACAAAGCCTACCAAGATCACTTTGACAATATCGGCGATATCATCATTGAGATGAACTACAGCGGGGAGGGTTGTCCATACAACCTTGGCACCTCCTCATTCTGCCTAAACGGAAAGCCTTGGTCGCAATTGAGTTCCAGAATCGTGATGTGAACACTGTTCCCGATGAAGAGCTTATGGAAGATCGTATAAAGTCCCTAGACCTTCGCCTAACTTTAAGCCGCCTGACCATTCCTAGGCACCTTGCCTCAAGACCAAAAGCCCTCGCTGAAGACATTTTGTCCAATGATAAGTGGAGCCCGAGTGGTCTGGAATGCCCACTATGTCTAAACCATGACAGTTTCCATCCGCAAGTACAGCAATTCAGCTACTGCAACAAGTATGTGCTGAGACGCCATAAAGAGAAGACCCATCTGCAGCATATGGACTTTTCCAAGGCAATACGGTGTTCATATCTTGATTGTGGGAAACTTCTGACCTCCGCGGAACAATCCTCTGCCATTTCACAACTGCGCATGGGACTCAGTTGCCAATGGGGTGGCGCCACACTTGACTACAACAATGCACTCCAGTTATTAGAGTAGTTACAAACACTCCAAAGCCCAGCACTGGCCTCAACACTTAAACCGGAAGCCCAGGCTAAAGACATTCTATCCCCAGAAAAGTTCCCGTGTTGTAGCCCAACTGGCCTAGAGTGTCCAGATTGTTTGAACAGTGATAGATTCCACCCCCAAGCACGGCAGTTCCGCTATTGCAATATCTATGCGCCGAAAGACCATCTTCAGACTGTTCTTCTGAGGCGGATAGACTTTTCTAAAGCCTTATCGTGATTGTGGGAAATTTTTGACCTCGGCAACACAACATCTTAACATGTAGCAACTCGTGCATGGGACCCGGTTGCCGAAGAGATATTTTCTCTTGCTAATGCTGTCTAATTTTTCTGTTTCTGTTTTTTTCTGAATTTATGGTACCAGGTGGTTCACCCAGCGGCACACCTGCCTCCTCTGGCAGGCTTGAAGTGTTTCCATCTATTGGGTGCTACCCACTCAGCCCTTCTTCAGAAAAGGGCGGAAAGAATGCAAGAAAGATGTCTCACTTGACAGTGAAGGATGTCAGATTCCTTCGCGCTGGATCACTGGCCGGCATACAGATATTATCAAGATAAAGATATTCTCTGTTCAAGAGGAATGACGTGCCGTCTGCCATTCCACATCTAGTGACCATTTTCCCTCAATATCTGTAGTCAGTGAAGGATAGGTACTTTGCGCAGGGTCCGTCACGCTCGGCACGGGGCTGGTTCCGGGAACCGGTGCCATTCTGGAAGTCCTATGGAAAGCTAATGGATGGAAAAACTAAGATATTGCTAGCTGAACAAACTGACTTTATAACTGCCCGGAGTCCTGCATTGACATGTTGAGTGTATTTGGCGGTACTTTATGCATCTTTAGGGGTGTAAATCCAGTGATGAGAGGGTAAAAATGATGCATCGCTGCAAGGAAAACTTGTCTATATAGGCCGACCAAAAGCCGTAGTTGAAGGGGCTGTGCTCCTGTTGATGAGCTGATGTTTGTGTAGAGAACTATAGAAAGTAACCACAAGTTAAAACCTAAAATGTGATTATAAATTGAAAAAAATAAGAAAGTGATATCATTTAATCTCATCTAATCTCATTCTTGATATTTATTGATATGAAAAAGTAATAATTTTTGATAACACTCAATGAACACTGTATTAAAAATACTGTAAAATATAATTGAATTCTACAGTAAATGAATATTATTATAATATATTTGTATAGAAAACTTAAAAACAGTCTATATAAAATAATCTATATATTTTAAAGAAAAAACTTTATACATACTAGTTTACACAGTTCAAGAATTCTTATATAAATAGAGAAAATGATACTATTTCATTCTCTCTTTTAGAAATAACTAAGAAATCATCAAAGTAGTATTTTGTTATTTTATAGAAGAAAATTTACTGACTCTGTATAAAAGTAAAGTTTTCTCTTTATATATTCTATTCTTATTATATCTTATATATAAATGATATTATAAAGTAAATTAAATTCGTATAAAAAGAGTGAAAAGCTACTCAGCACTACTTAGAAGCTTTAATATAGTTAATAAGTATAATTGTGGCGGGCTGCGCCCGATCAATTATATAGACTATTCTGTTACACTTCATAGATTCTTCCGTTCCACTATTGAACATGTACACCCTGATTCTTGGCCATTCTCAATCGCCGATCCTCAGCCGCCATGAACGTGTATAGATTCTTCCGCCCCAGAGCTCCACTGTGTACATCACCACATACATGTATAGATATCCATTCTGATCACTGATTTCTACACTTTCTCTTTCTTTTTCTTCTTTAACATTTTTCTCTTTGTTATATAAGATCTATCAATATTATACTGATCTATTCAGTGTAGATCTCTTACACTAGAAAAATATTCATCATCTTCTTATTAGAAAATGATTATTCATGCATTATCTTCTCATCAGAAACAATTATTTATCAAGAGATATTCAAATGCATAACAATACATAAGAAATAGAGAAACAGTTAAACAGTTAAACAGACACTGAGTTCTCAGATAGAAGCTTGCTCATCAGTCATTTTAGCCCTGTAATAAGATTTTATAAAGAGAATGTCAGTGAAAGATCTGAGAGTTCTGACACTCAGATATATAAGATATTTATACAATTACACTTCTTCAGATTTCACAGATATCACACATTTAATAAATGATATAATCATATCTAATAATAATATAAGAGAATCTCTGAACATAAGTATAGACACAGTGTCACAGTGACTCTGAGTAATATTGAAACTATAATAATAATAAATAGCTGATATACATGCAACTCAATAACATCAATACAAAGAGATTTAATAATTAACTCACATAATTTCAATATCTATAGAATTAAATATAAAAGTGCTGAAAGAACACTTAGATACTCTTATATATTTCAATACTTTCAATCTCACTCTCTACTCATTATGAAGAATGAAAATGCTTGTGAAACTGAGTGTAGATGAAGATGTCATCAGTTCATTAATTAGTCAAGATTAATATATTGATGAATAATTGAAAGATTGTATGAAACAGAAGTTTCATTCATAAATAAAAGCATGTGAATCAGTGTTACAAATGCCTGATAATATCATGAAATATCTTGATATTTTGTTTCAAGACACTGTTATACAACAGAAAGTATTAGATTAATTATAGAGTACTTAACAGAGAAACACTTCTCTTACAACATTTATTTCTGACTTCAACACTAAGATTCTAGAAGTAAATAATCAATCTTGAGAGAATCAAATAAAGATTAGCATGCTTAAGAAGATATTAACTTTTGAACTCTTACAGATTCTTATAAGTGTAGATAAAGATCAGACTTATGAAGACTTCTGCACACAGCTTCAGACAATGAATGATTATCTTATCAAGTTCAAGAGTATACAGAACAGTGATAGAAGACATTATATCTCAGTAACTTATTCATCTATACTAAGAAATAACAATGATGCAGATGCTCTGAATTGAGTAGACTTGAATATCTATATATAAGCAAGAATCTTCACTGTTCAAACAGGCTTTCAAATCCCTGAGATCACTTCTGAAGAAGTTGCTGATTGACATCAATATGAAGTATACATCAACTGTAACTGATTAGAATACATTACTTTTAACTGCTGATTAATCTATGTATCTTCATACTCAAGAGAAAGATCAGCATCTTCTCAATCAAGAGAAAGATCAGTGTCTTCTTATTTAAAGAATGAATTAGTGTCTGTCTGTGTCAACTACATTGCAGTGAAAGAAGATTCAGAAGATAATTATAAGAATGTCTCAATGAAACAGAGAAAAGATTAGCTTCTATTCAAATTTGTAAACAGAAGCTTGAAGAGATTGAATGACAATGATTTGAAGAGAAAATAATAATGAATGCAATTCTTGTATCTACTGTAATTGATAACATGTATAATATGAAAGTCATAATAGACAGCAGTCTATACTACTATACAATGATAAAATCTTCAGTTATAAGACATTATAATCTTCAGTATATTCTCTTATCAAGATTCTGACTTCTCACAGAATTTGATGATTCAAAAGACATTTATACTCATTATATAGTGAAGCTGATTATAGATGTGAAAGAACATCAATATGAAGATGTCTATATATATGAAGTTAATAATCTTGATTACAATCTTATGTTAGAACTTATCTGACTATCTAAACAAGGCATCTTATTGAATACTTAAAACAGAAGCTTAATATTCTCTAACAATGATAGAGTTCATAAGAATAATATTCACAAGACTATGAATCTGACACAGATCTCTGTTAACACCTATAAAATACTCAGAAAAAGAAGTCACTGAAAGAATTATTGATAGCAGAATTATATATCAATCTATTTCATCAGTCTGACTGATATTAAAAAGACTCTAGAAAAGTTATTCTATATTATAATAATAGATTCTTGTATGAAACTTTCTCAATAATATTATGAATATCTAGATGTCTTCTGATAAGATAATAATACTACAAATCTATCTCTCTTACAAGGTTCAGAAGTGAATCACAGTATCAAGTTGAAAAAGAAGAATAGTAAAAACTCTGAATCATCATAAGACTCTCTTTATAATATATCTCAAGATGAACTTCTTCTTCTCTGAAAGACACTCAATGATCTATTAGATAAGAAATTCATACATATTAATAACTCTTCTACTGTAGCTTCTATTCTCTTTGCAAAGAAGTCAGATAAAGAACTCTGATTCTGTGTGAACTATCAAGATCTGAACAGATTGACAAAGAAAGATTAATATCTCTTATCTCTTATCAATGAAACTCTAGCACAGATCAGATAAGCTCAATAATTTATAAAGCTAGATATCATCACTGTGTTTTATAAGATTTGTATCACTGAAGAAGATGAATGACTTACAGTATTAAACATATTATAATCTCTTTGAATAAATAGTCACACTCTTTGAACTGACTAACACTCTTAGTATATTTCAGAAGTATATCAACTGAGCACTTCAAGATTTTCTTGATAAGTTTGTATCTACTTATCTAAATAATATTCTCATCTTTACTAATAAATTCAGAAAAGAATATCAAGAATATGTATAAAGAGTATTATAATAACTACAAGAAGCAGGACTATTAATTAATATTGATAAGTGCAATTTCAAAGTTAAGAGTACTAAATACTTAGATTTCATCATAGAAGCTGATAAGAGAATTTGAATAAATTCTGAGAAGATCTCTGCTATTCTTAAATGAGAAGCTTTATATACTGTGAAAGATGTATAAAGCTTCATTGAATTTACTAACTTCTATCAGTGATTTATACAAAACTTCTCAGATATCATGAAATCACTTACAGATCTTACTAAGAAGAATTCAGTATTTTAATAATCAGCAGACATCAAAGCTGCATTTACACAGATAAAGAAGATGTTTATTAATATCTCTCTATTAATAATATTCAATTCTGATCATAAGATAGTTATTGAGGCTGATTTCTCTAGCTATATGACAGA